CTGCTGTGCTTACCGTGTCTAACATCTCCCGTGTATGTGCAGCTGACACACAAAACCGAGCTCTGGATTCTGTGATAGGAGTAGCTGGAAAACCAACCACAACCACACCGATATTTTTTTCTAACATGCGTCTTGCAAAAGCCCTAAGGAGAGAAGAAGAAGAAGAAAAAAAAAAAAGTAAATTATCTCCAATACACTGACCACAGAGAGAAAACATTCAAGTATAATAAAACAATGGGTAAAATCCCATCTTCAGTTGAAGTGGATGGTAATAGTCCCACTGACTTCAGTAAGAGCCAGAATTTTACCAGTAGGACTGAGATTCTTTGCTGCTTAACAGCTCATGAAGCCAAGTGGGTGTCAAATACTAGAAGTGTGATGGCAGAGAGAGCACTGTAGGATAGACATGATTCATTTATGTCAATGAAAGGCTTTAAGTGCAAATCAAAATGTGTGGGCATTCACAGTCCCTAAGCACAGAAGTTGTTGGGCTTCTGGAATGTATGAGAGCTGGGTTCCTACACATCAACAGGAATAAACCAATCTGTGTGATCATTTCTTTGCTCTCATAAATACTCTGGCAGCTTAGGAATCTTTTGTGTGGTATGTACTAGACCTAGAGCAACTTTCAAATACTCCCTACAGCTCAACCTTACATTATGCTACCTCTGACTTATGGTCTGCATGTCCAAGTCAGTGCACAAGTGCTGCTTGATAGGTACTGAATGGTATAACATGCAAAGTCTGTTCAAAGATCAGATGCCAAAGAGCATCCATCTAAAACATGCATCCAAGGCAATGTATCTCTTTTAATGATTACAAATTAAAAAAAAAAAAATCTCAAAATTCAAAATATTAGCAAAAGTACTATTCCAGAGCAAGTTAAAAAAAGGGTAAGAGAAATTTTAAAACTTCTGAATACAGGAACAGCTCAAAATTAAGTCTAGGGCCAAATTTAAATAGAACATAACTAAATGATGAATTCACCTAACAGCGTATGTTTCTCTTGTGAAGCATTTACCACACATAACTACATTTTTCACAGTGTATACCAAATAACCTGTGAACTTGAATAGAGTTTGTTTTGCAAACAGGTTTTTTTCAGTACTTACCCTATCTTACCAGGCATATAAAGGAGTAAGGGGACAACAGGAGAATCATCATTGCCATAAATGATGAAGCCCATTTCATGCAGTCTTCGTCTGAAGTATCTTGTGTTTTTCCCCAGCTGGCGCACTCTTTGGAGCCCTGAAATGAGCCAGTCAGGAGAACAGTCAGTGCAAAGACCATAACTGGAGTCTAGTAACAGGCAAGAAACAGGGCTGATATCTTGATATTATCACCTCAATATCATCATCTGACAACAGACTTTAGTCGTTCAAGACGTTCAGACACAAGTTTTTTTCTCTGCATTGTCTCTGGCCTCATTCAATCACACTGATGTGTCCCCCAGCAAAACTGGCAGCAGAGTTGAAAACAATTATTTTTAATGAAGAAAAAAGAACAAAAAACAGCAGAGAAAAAATGTGCTTGGAAAGTCATCTCAGCCTTTTCTTTTGCAGTGTCACTAAGGAGGTGGTTTCTGACAAGTGTGGTTGCTTCCCCACCCATTGCATACAAAAGGGAAGAGCCACACTCAACATTACTGTAGGTAGAAGATGTAGTATGTCCTTTCCCCACTCCGCCTGCATTATATTTCATCAGCGAGCTGATCTATGTGCTGCTCTTCCAATGCTGTAAGGTGCTGACAGGGATGGTGCCACCTACTCCATACCCACATGCTGCTCTTTCCCACCGCCTCCTCAGTACCAGCTCTAGGTTCACACAGCTGCATGATAAATCAAGCCAGGTCCATCATCTACCTGACCTTGCCAGAAAGAAAACTGCCAAACCAATGTCAAACGGATGGATTATCTGAACCTAATTGCTATGCAGCCGCTTGTGCCTGCTCAGCAGAGGTGGTGGGAATCATAGAATTGTTTAGGTTGGAAAAAGACCTTTAAGATCATCAAGTCCAATCGTTAACCTAGCACTGCCAGATCCACCACTAAACCATGTCCCTAAGCACCACACCTACCCATCTTTTAAATACCTCCAGGGATGCAGACTTGACCACTTCCCTGGGCAGCCCGTTCCAATGCTTAACCACCCTTTCGGTGAAGAAATTTTTCCTAATATCCAATCTAAACCTCCCCTGGCACAACTTGAGGCCATTTCCTCTTCTCCTATTGCTTATTACTTGGGAGAAGAGACCGACACCCACCTCACTACACCCTCCTTTCATTTCAGGCAGTTGTAGAGGGCAATAAGGTCTCCCCTCAGTCTCCTCTTCTACAGACTAAACAACCTCAGTTCCCTCAGCCGCTCCTCATCAGACTTGTGCTCCAGACCCCTCACCAGCTTTGTTGCTCTCCTCTGGACAGGTTCCAGCAACTCAACGTCTTTCTTCTAGTGAGGGGCCCAAAACTGAACACAGTATCCAAGGTGCGGCCTCACCAGTGCCGAGTACAGGGGCATGATCACTTCCCTGGTCCTGCTGGTCACGCTATTTCTGATACAAGCCAGGATGCTTTTGGCCCTCTTGGCCACCTGGGCACACTGCTGGCTCATATTCAGCTGGTTGTCAACCAGTACCCCCAGGTCTTTTTCCATTGGGCAGCTTTCCAGCCACTCTTCCCCAAACCTGTAGCACTGCATGGGGTTGTTGTGATTCAAGTGACCCAACACTGAGCCTTGTTAAACCTCATTCAGCTGGCTTTAGCCCATCGATCCAGTCTGTCCAGATCCTTCTGGAGAGCCTTCCTACCCTCCAGTGGATCAACTCTCCTGCCCAATTTACTGTCGTCTGCAAATTTACTGAGGGTGCACTCAATCCCCTGGTCCAGATGGCTGATAAAGATGTTAAACAGAACTGGCCCCAACACTGAGCCCTGGGGAACACCACTTGCAACCAACCACCAACAGGACTTACGAGCTCTAATGCTCGCCACAACTGGTGGCCAGTTTTTTATCCAGCGAAGAGTATGTGCGAATGAATATGTGGTAAGACAGAGATTTAGCGGGACACATTTTAGCTACACTTTTAACTGTTATTTTCCTGCCGTTCATCAGACCATACTTTCAATATCACTTACATTATGTCACCAGACGTGAACACTGAAGTCTCTGGTACAACTAATTTCCTCTTCTTCCCTTTGTGTTTAAGGTGCCTTTGCACAGATGTTGCTCTTTCATTTTACTTTCCTTTTCATTTTCTTCATTCTTCATTAACTACTTTCTTCTGTCACCCTTCTCTGACCGGATGCCTGTTTCCTAATTTCCCACCTTCCTCCTGGTAACCACAGTGGTCAGTTAAGCATTTGTAGCTGCTACATACCACCTTTGGGAGATTTGTCCTCAGACCACATTCTCCCCCACCACCTGCTGTGGCTAAGGTGGGGATCACCACACCTACACAAACCTCTTTTCCATTAATTATTTCTGAGTATGCGTAGGTTTGAACAAGATCTACTGCTTCATCTGTTCTGTATCTTCCCAAGTCAAGGTTCTGTCTATGTTCTGGCTGGGAAATTTATAGGGAAACTGGGACTTCACAGTGATCAGTGTTTTGCTGAACAAATTAAAAGATCTCATAAAACCAGTGCATTTGTAACTTTATGCACAAAACTGCCCACGCAGACAACCTGTTAGTTACAGTTTCAGTCATTCAGTTTAAAGCATTCAGTGGAAGAGATCTGCTGGGTTAGAAAAGGCCACAAAATAGTTTAACCATCTCTCTAATGCTGCTAAAACAAAAACAGCTGTGCCAGAGCAAGGAAAACAAATGAAACACAAAAGCATCCTACTACAAAGCTTTCCAGTCACTAATAAAAACAATAGTCTGTGGTATTTCCAAAAATATTTTTGGTGTAGTAGATCTCAAAGAACCAGGAGGAAATATTGAGGAGGAGGAGGAGAAATGGGGGCAGGGGAGATGGCAAGGAAAGGGAGTTAGAGAAGAACCGCAGAATAATGCGTCTGAAGTCTAAAGAGAGACTTTTTTCCTTGTTAGAATTTGTAAAGATGTTATTAGCACCTCCTGAAGGCCCAAATTACAAGGAGGAGGGTGGGGGAGTAACCTGAACTGGGGGCTCAAAACCACCACTGCTTCTTGCTATCTTAGCAGCCCCTGAGCTAGTTTCCAAACTCTCAGTCTACAGCATTTGAAACTACTAACTTTTCAATTAGGGAAAGTTTTCATAAATGCAGATGTTCTTGGCGACTGCAGTTTAAGACTTGCTGCCTTCTCCTTTCTATTCAGCTGTTTACCACAAAGCTGGAAACAAAGTGTCAGCCATGCAAGATTCCAGGCTGTTCAGTATTTATCAAACCATATGCGCATGGCCCAGAGTTGATCAGTTTGTCTCTACTTATTTTAAGTAGCGGAAATTTAGACTCCAAAGCATGAGGGGGAATCCAGCAAAGGAAATATTAGAGCTGAACGAGGAGTTTCAGGCAAGCCCCCCCAAAAGTCGAACACCTCTTCCTTTTCCAATCTTCCCTTGCTAAATCTATACCCTCAACCAGTTTGTGATGGGACAGATGCCCTTTCCAGACTCCCTATGGAATCATTTCAAGCGAGCCAGTGCTGATGCAAAAGCACCACTTTAATGCTTTAGCAACATCCCAGAATAGTAATTTAATTTGCAGGGATGCATTAAAGAGCCAAATAAAAGATCAGAGCACTCACATATATCTGGAGGGAAAAAAAGCACATTAGGAGACGGTTGCTGCACACACTGTATTTGTGGGTGGGTGGCTGGGAGGAACCTATTTCTATACCAAGTGTCAACACTTTCCTTTCTCATGTTAAGTTTTGTGGTCAAAGACCACATACACACATCATACACACAGCCATCTTATATGCTGTCCTGATAAGAGCCATAAAAAACTTAAAGTCTGTAACTGTATTTTAACGCTCTTTTTCATTCCTTTATGGGACCCTCCAACATCAGATAAGGAGGCAGATCTGAACAAAATGTTTATTTTGGTCTCATTGGCCCCATTTTTCCCCAACACTGCAGATTAAATCAGTGTAAGAGTGATGAATTTAGTTTAGAAGCAGATCTTAGTCCAGATTCACTGTGGTATGTTTGACCAAAGACACCGCATTTAAAAACTATTTTCTTTGATTCTTGAGGCTGCGATATTGCATCCTTTATTATTTATTGAGTGAAAATTTGCAGAGTTGGACCCTCGAGCTAAAATGATATAGCTGCATCTGTTTAAGAATTCACTTGTATGGCACTAATTAGAGGATCAGCTCCTTAGACAGTAAATATATTTGTTCAAAAATTCTTAGTTTGCAAAATTCTCGAGGATTTACAGTCTATGCAAATAGCTTATAGCACAACATGCAGGATATCCAGATAGTGGTATGCTATAAAACAAGTGAACCACAACACAGCATGCATATTTTTTGAGAAAACAGGCTGGACAGAGAAAAGTGACCCCTAGCTAATTAAAACTAAGCCCACTAATGCTCCACAGAGTTTTCAGCTACAGTTGAGCATGACCTTATTAAGACCTCTACATCTTTTCGTTAGCTGAATTAAGAAGGGACGGAAAGAGAGAAAACTAAACGATAAAGGATCCTTAAATTTCACAAGTTATCTTCACGCAGCTTGGAACATACAGTGATACACAGGCCAGCTTACTGGGATTTTGTTGAAAAGCAGAATTAATTACCTGGATGGTACAACAAAAACAGATTTACTGCATCTGCAATCCACCTACTGCTGGCAAATTTAGAGTTTACATTTGTTGCACCGCTTTAAAAATATATAGTTTACTGCGAACTTCTAAGATGTTGGCAATTCTGGGAAAAATGCTGATTGTATTTTTTTTTTTACATGCATTATTGTGTATTGCCAGTTTTAGCTTATTAATTTCTGCAGGCTTTTAGAAGGCTTTCTAGCTCAAAATTAATGTTTTAATTAAAGGAAAAATACAAAGAGAAGGCAAAAGAGAAAGAAATGATAAAGGATAGTGGCTTGCCCATAATTTCTTTGAAGCAACAAGCTTTTTAAGAGAGACACTCAGAGTAACAGACTTGGTAAACGCTTTGTCACATGCCAGTCTGTGGCTTCAGACCTGCTTTCAGTGAGGAGGCTGCTCTGAAGTCTGACAGCAGGAAAGCATCCTGATTACAGGGCTGAGGGCCTGATCTCAGACGGGTGTTACCTGGCACAGCTCCACGCGCTTCAGTA